GCTGACGGCCTTTCTCCGAGGCCGAGGGGCTGGGCGGGCGGTGTGGGAACCCCCTTCCCCTGGGTTCCCGTTCCCTGTGGACGTGACGGCCCGTCACGTAGCACAGCTCCAGGCGCAGGGCACAGAGGGTGCTAATGAGGGTCTTACTGGTTATTTCAGATTACTTCCCTCCACTGCCTCCCTGTTCTTCACTAAAGAAAATTGTCATTCTTAGCTGAATATGAAAGTAACTCATGCTCAATGTAGAAAGTGTGGGCCATACATGGAATCATCAAGATGGAAATAAAAATCGCCCATTACTTCCTATTCAGAGATGATCACGGCAGCAGCTGGAGATATTTCTTCCCGCCACTGTATGTGTAGGTATTAGGTTTTATATCGATGCTGTATCAGACTGTGAGCATTTACTCTTCACTGAGAAACATGAAAGAATAATTTTTACCGGATGAGTAATGCACATTTAATACTAATTTCTTTGTCTTGTTCTGTCGCGGGGTACCTAGGTTGCTTATAATCCACTAAGAGCAAACTCTGCTGTCATCTTTGTATGAAGAGCCTTATTCAGATCTCGAGATCGATGCACCGTCAGGCTAGTCTTGGGAGTGGGACTACTAGGCGGGGCAGAGCATGACAGAGCTAAGTCTTTTTGAACCTGCGGCGAAACTGCTTTCTGGAGAGGTGGCAGGACTTACAGTTCTGAGCAGGAGGGGCGCTGGCTTCACCCTCTCTAGAACTGACAACACGTTCGCTTCACTGCCTCCTTGTCCTCTTGTTGAAGGGCTGCAGTGGGAGAAGCGCTCTCACTCTGAACCCCTGGTTCTGAATCTGGGGGCAGGGTGGTGGCTGTAGGTTCATCGGCAATCTCAGAGAAGGGGGTGGAGCCTCAGCTTCTCTTTACTCTCCCTCCCCCACAGGGCACAATCCCACGTTAAGAATGGATGAGCCAGCAGTGGTGGGTGGGAACGGGGACCCGTGAGGACACTGGTGGGGAGTGATGGAGCTGGGAGTGAGTGAGGGCACTGGGGGGGGTGTGGCGGGGAGAGTCCACAGGGCCTGGTGACTGCCTGGATCAGTTGAGAGGGGAGGGGTGTTTACGCTCTGGGATTTGGAACTTTCAAATTATTTTAAGTTATTTATTAACCCCGAGGCCAAACTTCACTGCCTCCCTGGCTCTGTCTAGAATAACTTTCCTCCGTCTCTTTCCAGTCTCCCGTGTATATTCAGCATCTGGAAACCAGGCTCTGCATAAGGGATGTGAGTACAACCCTGGATCTACCCATCGGCCCCTCCCTCACAGGCGGAGAACAAGACACACAGCAAACCAAATAAATGAAAGACGAAACAGAACTTGAGCTCATGGCAGCGTGTGCTGAGGAGAGAAACCGGTGCTCTGGGAGACAGTGCCGAGCGATGTATCAGCTATCCACCGCTGAGTCACAGATCGCCCCAAACACCGCAGCTCGAAACATCTGCGACCTCGGATTCCGCGATCAGGGGCCGGGAGCAGCTGGGCTGGGCGGTGCTGGCTCAGGGGCTGTCAGGAAGGTTGGTCAGGCCGTTGCCCTGGGCTGAGGCTTCATCTTAAAACTCACGTGGGGCCGAAGGGTCCGATTTCAGGTTGGCTTTCGTGGTCGCTGGCAAGTCTCAGGTCTGTGTAAGTTGTTGGGCCGAAGGCTGGAAGTCTCCCCTGACCCATAGTTACTCAACTTTGGCCCTCTCCACAGGGCATAGAAACTCCTTGCCCCAGAGTGAACGGTCCGAGAGGGAGAGGCTGAGAGACGGTGTGTATCCAAGACGGAAGCCACGGTCTTCTCATAGCCGAATCTGAGACGTGGCCGGTCGTCACTCTGCTGTGTTCTGTGCGTTAGACCGGAGCTTCTTGCTCTAATCCTCATTCCCGAGGAGGAGAGCTAAGTGCCACACTTTGAAGGGAGGAACAGCAAGGCATTTGTGGACATACTCAGCAAGGAAATTGTAGACGGATTTTATTTTTTAAACTACCACTGGGAGAGCTGGTGGGGGTGGGCATTACTTTACACAGGATGACCCAATAGATTTTAAAAGATATTTCAAATATTGAGTTATACAGTGATGAATATATACTGGTCCAAATTCTTAGCTTACAGTCCTAAAATAGATATATTTCAGATTTCAGAATGTTTGAGATTTTAAAGAAGCAATGCGCCGTAGGTGTCCTGTATTATATGAAACCCTCCAGTGAGGCCTGGGGCTGCAGCCTGTAATTAAGCACACTATTTCTGCCACAAAACCTCTGCATATTCATACCATGTAGGATAAATATAGGCTCTGAACAGCCTCATGTCCGTTAAGGTCAGATTTGTGGACAAATAAATTTGTACCAAATATAGAAAAGACCTTTTGTTTTTCAGAGCGCTTTGGATTTTGCAGTTGCGGGTCTGGAGTTGTGGACCCATCGTTAAGTCTTCAATAATATACTCATTTAAAATAAAGAGCAGTTACTTATTCTTAAACTATTTCTTTGTCTAATACCATGCAAAATTAATGAAGCAATTTTAAAATGTTCTAAAACCTCTCAGGAGATTGTATCTCATTGTGGAAGGGGTTTGTTATTTCTAAGATTGGAACCTCCCGTAGTAAGAATCAGAGTGAGATTGCAGCCATGCTGGAGTCTTGGTACAGGAGCCCAGGACCCCTGTCCTGGATCATGGAAGTAATGGAGAACCACTGAAGAATTTTGACCCCTGGGTACTGGAACGCCTTCGGAGTGAGAGTTGGGTAAGTAACCTTACAACTGGATTTTGGCAAATGCTCTCTTCCTTCCTTCCCTGTAAAACCTGGTACCCGCACTGCAGACGTGTGGTAGGACTGGCTGGAGACACGAGTCTCCCTCCCCTGGCTCTCTCTGTAATGAGGAGTTCTCTGTAATGAAGTTCTCATTACAGAGAACTCCTCACACAGAGCCCCTCAGCCTGGGCTCCTTTAACTCCCAAAGCATCTCTCGAGGCAGAGACACCCTCGTGGACTGGAGGAGGGAGGGACTGAAGCAAGGCAGGCAGACATGGGGGAAGTGAGGGCGTGAGGAGGTGGGGGTCATGGGAGGGAGGGATCTGGGATGAAGGGATGGCTGGGAAGCAGTGAGGAGGAGTCACAAGGACTCTAGTGCGACAGGGAGAGTAAAGGGGGACCCAAGTTCCAGCCTGCTGTCAGGGCGGCACCTCCCAGAATCCTGAGGTGGGGCGGGTTTAGGGTCAAGGGCTCTGGAATTAGAGGCACTGAGTTTGAAGGGCTGGAGGGGCTTTAAGGGAAGACGGGTGAGCCTCAGTTGGTGGTTGGGAGATCGGGGACCAAACTGTGCATTTGGCAGAGTTACTACCATGGGGGGAACCCTGAACAGGGGTCAAGTGGCTCCATCCTGACCCAAGGAGAGTAGTCTTGAAAAGGCTTGACCACGGGATCAAGAAAGAGCTTGTTTTAAAAAAGCATGACATAAATAAAGGCTATTTTTGTTGTGAGCTAGGCTGTTTTTTGTTCTTCGTTCAATTAGAAAAGAAAGGATGTGTGTTGGCGAGGCAGGAAAGACACCTGTGGTCCCGGCGTCAGAGACTCAACTAGGGGAGGGGCTTGTGGGGAATCAGACCCTTCGCCTCCTGTGAGCAGCCCTTGTGGCAGGTTTCTAGAGAATCTGAAAGTGGTTTGTTAAGATTTTAATTCGTGTTTTGTTTTGACTCCATGAAAGGATCTGGAGGGAGGAGAACCATTCTTGTTTGTCATCTTTAACTCTGTCCCCTTTCTCTGCCTTGAGTCCTGGAATATCTGGACAATCTCAGCACCCAGGTCAGAGGTAAAAAGCTTCTGGTTTATTTATTTTTTAATTGAAGTTAAATATAGTCAGTTTACAATGTTGTGTCAATTTCTTGTGCACAGCATACATACACATACATATATTTCTTTTCATATTCTTTTTCATTATAGGTTACTGTAGATATTGAATATAATATATAGTAGAAACATTATTTGTCTATTTAGTGTGTAGTAGTTAGTATCTGCAAGTATTGAATTCCTAATTTATCCCTTCCTATCCCCTTTCCCCCTGGTAACCATGAGTTTTCTGTATCTGTGAGTTTGCTTCTGTTCTGTAAATAAGTTCATTTGTGTCATTTTTTTTTTTTAGATTCCACATATAAGTGATATCATGGAAGAAGCTTCTGCTTTAGAAAAGAGCTGAACTACAGTATGCAGAGTCCCCCAAAAACTGAAAATAGACTTACCCCATGATCCAGCAATCCCACTCCTGGGCATATGTCCAGAGGGAACTCTAATTCAAAAAACATGCACCTCAAGGTTCATAGCATCACTATTTACAATAGCCAAGACATGGAAACAACCTAAATGCCCAGATCAACAGATGACAGTTGTGGTTATACAATGGAATACTACTCAGCCATAAAAAAGAATAAAATAATATCACTTGCAGCAACATGGATGGACCTGGAGATTGTCATTCTAAGTGAAGTAAGCCAGAAAGAGAAAAAAAATATCATATGATATCACTCATATGTGGAATCTAAAAAAAAAAAAAAGAAAGAAGAAAGAAAAAAGAAAAAGAAAAAGGAAGACACTAACGAATTTATCTACAAAACAGAAACAGACTCACAGATATAGTACATAAACTTATGGTTACCCGAGTGGGGAAGGGAGGGAGAAGGGATAAATGAGGAGTTTGAGAATTGCAAGTATTAACTACTATATATAAAATAGACAAGAAAAATTTCTTCTATATAGCACAGGGAACTATATTCAATATCTTGCATATCCTATAATGAAAAAGAATATGAAAATGAATATTTGTATGTATATGTATGACTGAAACACTATGCTATACACCAGAAATCAACACACTGTAAATGATTATACTTTAATATAAATAAATAAATAAATAAATAAATAAATAAATAAGCTGAACTAAGTGTCCTGGAGGCCATGTGTGGCTCTGGGGGACACAGGACATGGACATGGACGTGGAGATAGCTTTCCTTAAGATGGAAAAGGGGCAGAGACTTGGGTCCCCAGCACGTGGGGGTCTTGCCTTGCTTCCCACAGCAACGGGCAGTGGGAGGTGTGTGGCTGGGCGCTGCTCCCATCGGTGGCTGGACCCTGAGCCCAGAGCATCACCTGGAAGAAGGTCCCCTGTCCAAGCTTGGACGCTGAGTCAGTCAGCGGGGACCAGAGTGGACAGACACGAGAGACAGGATACGCGCTTCCAGGTCATTGTAATTCCACCGGGTGGGGAGGGAGGCTCAGAAAAGGTGGCCGCTGAGTTTACCAACAGCCCTGTACTTGTGGGTACAGAGCATGTGACATTTGCTTTCTAGAAATAAAAAATCGAGACATTTCCTCTGCCTCGTGCATTGGAGTAAAAGCCCCACAGTCTGTGAAGCTCTAAGTCCCCCTGTGGGGTCATCTGTCCTGACCCGCTTCTCCGGAGCCAGGTCACAGCGCGTTGTCGCTCCTGCCCGTCCTTCTGTTTCCTTTCTTCTCATCAACGGGGAAGGACGCGTTGCTCTGCTCTCACGGCCGAAGCGCGGAATGTTCTTCCCAGGCTGTCTGCTCCCTGTTCCTCCGTCAGTCTTCCCGATTTCGGCCGCCTGGCTGCCGGGTTTCAGCAGGGAGTCTGAACCGCTGGGAGGGCGACAGCGTTCCAGCCGCGGCGCCCGGGCCCGCGGGGCTGCCTAAGGCCGAGCACCGCCCTCCACCCCTGTCTGCGCAAGCGCCCTGCGCACCGCAGCCTCGGAGCTCGCCTGCCGGGAGAGGTGGGGTCTAACTCCCCGCCCCTGGGACCTGGACTGGCCTCGGCACCGGCTCTGGCCACTAGAACGAGGATGAGCTAAGTCTGAACGAGGCCTCGGGGGACAGAGGGCGCGTCCGCTCCGAAAACCTCTGGATTCCAGGAGAACAAGCCCAGCCCAGGCTGCTGGGGGCTGAGACGCCACGTGGCGGAGAGCGGAGGGTCCCCCAGCCGAGCCCATCAGACACCAAGCAGCCCATCCCCGGTCACAGATGCTGACATCAGCCCGGCCGGGCCGAGCACCCCTCAGACTCGTGACAAACAACAAACGGATGTTGTCTGAAGTCATTAAGTTTCGGGGTCCTGGTTACATAGCAACAGTGAACCGATGACGCTCACACATCTGGGACGTCCGGGGTTCTCCAGGAGTATCAAAAACAAAACCAGCCGGGCACTCGTTACATCTCAAGGCAACTCGTTTTCTCGTTAGGTAACAAGATACGTGTGTTTTTAGTAATCTAGAACGTCTCCTTGGCGCTCAGTGTGATTCTTTCCAGTACAACATCCTATTTTGATGCACTAGGCTCCAGGATTCAGATTCACCAGACACAACTGAACGTTTAAAACTCCGCTGGCTTCATATTCCAGATCTGGTTGATCTATGATTCTTTTACAGAATTAGAGCCTCAGCATATTTATCCCAAAGAGGGCTTAAATCAGGCGCTTCTCCATCCAAGTTCCCGGGGAGGCGCGCTGCCACAGACGCTTCCGAGATTTATGCCTTTTTGGCATCTGGTGTGACTGGCAGTCAGAATTTCTAAACTAACACCCAAGATGTGCTCAGGCAGAGGAGCCTGGATTTGCCTTCTTCTCTGTTTTTCACAAGAACAAGGCTCAGATGGGGGCTTGGGGTCTGGGGTCACGCCTCTGTCGCAGGACTAGGCTGTACAGCTTGCGTTTTGTTCCTAAAACAGTGATTTTTAGTTTTTCAGTCATCAGCAGAAACAAGATGCAGAAATGTACCCTGGGGTCTTCACATGTTATATCAAATTAAAACCTCTGATCCTTCTGGTAAAGGAACAGGTTAATGTTTCTGGGAAAAATATGAAAATGAGAGCAATGTAGATGTCTCTGAAGTGGGATTCAGACACTGGGTGAACACTGTTGACATCTTTAACGAAATTTTTTATAAACTTCTGTTCTATCTAGAAACAGAGCTAGAAGGGGAATAAATCAAAGTACCCAGAGACAAAATGAAAAGAAAAAGACTATCGTCTCTTTGATTTCTTGCAGTTAACTCCAGAACTCAGGGCTCAACTCCCCTGCAAAACAGAAAATAAAAAAAGACGTTTTGGTCTGAAATGCTCACTGGGGAAGAGAGAGAGACGGACCAAGGTTTATTGAATATTAGTGTGTGGCAGGATGAGTTTCTGGGCTGCAGGTTTTTTTCCATCAGACTGTCAGGGAGCTAAATGATGCTGACCGCTGAGCCCAAAGGTGACATTATGGATTTTAAAATGAGGGCAGAGTTGAAATGCCAGCAGTTTCGGTTTTGATGCTGGATCTCAACAGGAAAGAGAGGCACTGGGTCATGTGTCAAGGCCAGAGGCCTCCCCCCAGGATGAAGTGGTGAGTGGTAGTTCTGAGGTTTCCAAAAAACAGAAATTAAAATTTCTGGTGTTTATGAAAATCTCTCTCTTGAGAGTTCGTTGTATGTTCATACCGCCACAGTCTGGCCTGGGAGGGTGGTCAGGTCATGCGCTCAGCACTTCTTTTCCAGAACATTCTTAGGGAGGGGGTGAGAGGGACAGGGAAGAGCCCACTGCCCAGAAGTGGAGTGAGACAACGAGAAGGAATCGGGACTGCCAGGTTTGGGGTGAGCTGAAGAGAGGCCGCCATGATCTGAGTGGGCGGAGGAAACCCCCTTCGGAGACAGTGAAGGTCGGTCCCTGATCCTGGGTAGGCCCGGAGCCTCCTGGGGTAACGGTAGGTCCCCCACCCCAGGCTGTGGCCAGTGGGCACTCGACTTAGGGCCAGACTCTCTGTGAAGTACTTTGATATTTATAAACCTATTTAGCCCTAAAAAGAAACCCTGTCGTGTAGGATTTGATATCTTCAATTTGCAGATGAAGAAATTGTGTATCAGAACAACCGTGCAGCATGCCTGCCTGAGTGAGGAGGACTCAGCGGGACTGGGCGCTGATGCAAACCTGGTGCCCAGCAGAGAATTCTGCCCCGCAAGGGGATGGTCTTAGGAGGTGGGGACTTTGGGAGGGGAGGGCTCACGAGGGTGGAGCCCTCAGGAATGAGACTAGTGCCCCTTGTAAGAAAGGCCCCCGCAGAACTCCGTAACTCCCCTACCACGTGAGGGCACAGGGAGAAGGTGCTGGTGGCTGTGAACCAGAGAGGGCTTCCGCCAGAACTTACCTGGCCATGGACGCCCAGCCTCCCAAACTGTGAGAAGCGCATTTCTGTTGCTTACCAGCCACTTACACTGGGGAGCTCTGTTATGTAAGCCTGAAGGGCTGAACGTCCACGGACCCAGGCTGCTCTGTGGGCGTCATCGGGTGTAGACGAGGCCACTTGGGCTGAGATTTCAGAGGGCGGGTGGAGAACTCATAAGGCAGAGCCCTGGACACGCCAAGATTTGCAGGTGGGGCAGGAAAATGATGGTGCCCCCGAGAAAGAGATGATGTTGGAGGTCCTGAGAGGCTGAGGACGTCATTCAGGGAAAGGAAACCGCCTCTGGTTGCCACAGGAAGTGCTGGGGCGAACGTCACCATCACAGCTCTGGAAGTCGGGGGACCCAGGGCTGAACTCAGCTCTGATGGGGCCACTGAGCGATCTGGCCTCAGTTTACTCAGCTGAACAGTGGGGACGCTCCAGAGACGGCAAGCATTAGGACAGAGTAGGGTTTGTAGCGATGGGCCTGGAGCCCGTCGGGGAGAGCCTGGAGAGATAGCCTGGCTGTGGGGGCCAAGGCAGGGGCCGCTGTGAGCAGAGAGCAAATGGAGGTGATAGTGGCCATCGTGGGAGAAGGAATGAGGGCTCAGACTTTACCTTCAGCTCAAATGTTAAAAACTGGGTATTTTCTAGTTTCCACGTCTGTACGCAGTCACTGAGCCGGCAGCACGTGATAAGTGAGCGTGTCCCCAGGCCAGGCACTCCCTTAGGTGATGGGTCACAGAATGACAAGACTGGTCCTGTCTAAAGGCCCACATTTGAGTGA